TTGTCCTTTTTTGTACATTTCTGTAATGTATCATACTCACAGCTTGCTTCCTCTAACTCCATTGTCCTCATGTAAGATGTGCAGATCATATTAATGCTTTCCAAAGACATGCCAACCTTTTGTTCTGATTTCCTCCTTGGTCACCCAGATAACTAAAGAGGTTTTCAGTACTGACCCAGTGTCCCTCCTATTCACAGAGTCAGTACCTTTTCCTACAGACATCAGAGTTTCCAGTGTTACTATTGCCCTTTCATTAGCACATGGGGATGAGTGTAACCTTCTGCCTTGGATTTATTCTGTACTTTATTCTGCAATACAGAAAGGTTTATCCACAGAGCTGTTCCTTCTGGAAAATTGCATGGACTGGCAGTAAAATGATGCAGCAGTAGCAACACACCCCCCTCCAACACACACCTACTGCACAATGCTGTCGGTCCCTGACACTTAGATCCATCCTGAGGAGTGAAAGAGTGGGAGAGACACAGCCCTGAGCCCCTCATTTCTATTCCCCATGGCCTCTTTACATGAGCTGTCCCTAAGAGGGGCAAAGCCAGTGGAACTGAGTCCTTCCTGAGACCATCAGGATCTCCATAACGGGCCTGGCTGTGGATGGAGGAGCCCAGGTGTGTTGTGCTCTTACTGGTTTTCACCCTTCCATTTCTGTATATTTGGGAGCAGCCTTTGTTTCTGTTAAAGGTGCTACTTCTATATTCTCTTTTCCAGGGCTGAGGAGGAGAGGGCTGAGGCTGGGGACCTGAGGTTACAGTGCCTCCATAGCTGCTCCCCAAATAGTAAGTGACCATGGCTCGAGTGTGTCCGATACACAGTGGCTTGTCCTGTCCCCACGCTGGCTCCCTGGGGCTCAGGATGAGGCTTGGATTAGGAAGCTGGGGAAACAGAGGTTTGTTACTCTCCCAGACAGCATTGCCCAAGTGATAATCAACCAGCACATGAACAGTGCAAAATCCTCCACCGTTCAATTTAGGATGTGCACATATCCTATAATTTTGTGTTATCTCAAGAAGCTGTGACTTCATAGTAGTTTAAAAATATGCTCTAATTTACACCTGTATAACTTTCATTATCACTACCTTTTTTCATCTATATTTATCACCAATTCATGATGATGCATGCTATTGAATATAAAAATGATTGAAAGCAGCTTTGGTAGACAATAACTTAGTATAATTAATGCCATTTCTTGCACTTTCTCAGAAAATTGCTATGCTTTTATTCAGGCTTTGCAAAAGCTCTTGCTTTAAGCTATGGGAGTCAGTGGTTCAATGTACAGAGCAATGCCCTGCTCTGAATACTATACTTTTTCTTTACTCTCCAGGAAAGATGTGTGCAGTTTCATGCATCTATTTCCTTGGAAAGAAAGCAAGTGATCCTTCATTCAGCGGGAGGGAGACTTGGGACAGTGACTTGCTGACTCTGCGTTCTTAAAATTTGGAAACCTGCTGGCATTTTGCTGCCTCTGTCTTGCTGAGATGCACATCTCAGCCACGTACTCGTGGAAGCTTGGTGTCTGTAACCCTAATCACTGAGGGTCCTGATCCCTCCCCAGACCTGCTGGAACTGCTCTCCAGTCCCATGTCACTGCAGGTGGTCTCCCCACAGGCATGATAGTGCTGGCACTGCTCTCCAGCTTGGTTTGTCATCAGCTCACTTGGTAACTCCTGCTCCTTGAAAATGTCATGTCAGTTATGGACTTTTCCACAGGCAGGAGATCCACACCCCTCATTTTCACAGGCCTGCACATGTCTATTGGTACAAAATTGATCTGGGTCATGTTTCCTGAGAAAATTCCCCACCTGCCAAGCTACTGGCGGGTGCTCAAGTGTGCTTTTTTATTATTGAAGCCTGTCCAAAGGTCTTTGTTTCAAAGAACAAATAACAAGTCTTGACATTAGGTGTTCCAAGGAATAGGAACAAGGCTCTTGTTGGTCCTACACCCAGCCCTGCCCCAGTGCTTCAATTCTAAAGGACACAGAGCTTTACCCCCACAGGGCCGACAGTGCTGGGAAAGCAAACTGCAAAGGAGAAGCCCAGTGTCAGGGTAAAGAACAGTGGCCCTTCTTCAATATTCCATCAGTCTCAGCTTCACATCTGTTACCCACTGTAATGAAATCAGATCAATATTAATGAAGTGACAGGAGTGAAGTTCTGCTCTCAGTTCACAGTTTACTTATGAATCCAATATAAGCCGCAGGATCTTCATTATTCATGCTTATTAGGGAGGAAAAACATTAATTGCTGCTGCTCTGGATGGCACAAATCCTCACAACTCTCAGAAGAACATCTCCTTCCTTGAACAAGTCCATCAAGCCTGCACCTGACCCGAGGATTCTCCTTGATGCTGTTTCTGGCTTCACACACTCCCACTCTGTCACATCAACCATGCAACGGGCTCGTGGCCAGCAGAGAATTGGTAAGAGCAAGAGAACAATGTGAGAAGCACTTGGCTAAAGGCAGGGCAGCCTCAGAGGTTCCCCTGGCTCCCCTGGGTACCTGGGGTCTGCTTGGATGGAAGAAGGGGACACCCAGAGCAGACCAAGTCCTCACCACTGCTTGGTCACATCAGCACCCACGTGCCACTAACAGAGCAAACGCCAGCAGATCACTCTGAGCACTTTATGAACACTTCCCAGAGAGGTGATCCCGAGCCATGGGGACACCAGGATGCACCACCTGAAGTTATTCCTGCTGCTCACTTCAACCAGTATTTCATTCCCTGGAGGACTTGCCAGCTGCCCTCACTTAGAAGTGCCCTGAGGATGTTCTGATTGGAACCAAATGGCAGATAAGGAGTATTTGCTCGTGCTCAGACATCATGACTCTTTCTGTCCTCCCACAAAGACAAACCAGGGCATCTGTCCTTGTTGAGAGGCAAGGATTTGGGGGAGTGTCGCTGAGGAGTGAAAGAGTAAAACCTTTACAGAAAAGAACACGACTGAGTGACCGTAGAAGACAAATGCCGTCACAGCCAGGTGATTTTGGAAGAGACAATATTAAAGTTTTTGAGCATCCAGGAGCACTGTGGGAGCACAGGTAGCACGAAGGGCCTTATGCCAGGACAGGATATCAGGTTCCTCTGTTGGCAAGACTAAGCTCTCTGTTTTGAGAAGTGACCTTAAACTATAAATCTCATCAGAATCTTGATCCCAGGGGAGTCTTGAACAGGACAACTATTCAGTCTTGATATTTCTATATTAAGCCATTTAATGTCCATCACTAAACTATAATTTTCCTTTACCAGGGTTAAAAAAAAATGTTTTATTTCCTTTAAACCCCTTTAACAGGGTTTAAACTTGCCTGAACTGGGCTAAGAACAGCACCAGGGAGCTCTAGGTATAACTTGGCATCCTCTGCTCTCACCAAGCCACCTTCCTGTGCAAACATATGGCACTGGCCCCTATACATCTGATATCCTTGGTCATGATTTGCTCATACCAAATTTAGCATTTCCACTGCAAAGCCCTAAACACTCTTGAAGTCTGTTTGCTGTCATTTTGATGTTTCAACTCTTTCCTTCAGATGTGCAGGGCTGGGAGATCTCGATGATCCAGCTGTGCACGGTCACCACACAAAAACGAGAGAAGGAGAAATTTCATGTCAGGATTTTTTTGTTGTTGCACAGTTATTTATTGCCAAGAAATGCTCACTGTTCTTGGGCTCCAGGCAGCAGCAGTACCTGATTTCAGACATGTCCATGCCACTTCCACCCTCTCCTCCAGTGTTGTCCCACCACGAGGCATTAACAGGATGAGCCTGGAGCCCACGGCGCAGATGGGAGAGGTGCAGATGGTGGATGTAGAACAAGGGGTAGGAGAGAGGCAGGAGAAATGTCACAAAGGACAAGGAGAGACAGGTGTGGTGGCAAAGTCAAAAAGAGACAGGTAGCCCAGAGGAGCCAAGAGCTGAGCAGGAAACAGCATATTCCTACTGTCTGTGGCTAAAAGCCTTGGTGTTATCTGAGGCAGATAAACCCAGGGTTCAGGACACCAGCCTCTCTTGTAGAAAAGTGAAAGATTATTCAAAATTAATTCAGTGTCAAAAAAATAATATAGTCACTGTTTTGGCAGCGTGGGCATTTTAGGAGGGTCACCTGACAAAGAGGAGGCCTTGAAAAAGATAGTTTTATTCTCGTATCATCACCCTGTAGGCATTTCCCCTGGGTCCATCCCACAGCTCCTCTACCATCCTCCCACCCCGACTGTCTACAGCAAGATTTATGCAACCAGCCCCTCAGAGCTTCACTCTAGAGCATAGTGTAATTTTTTTTTCCTATTCAGACAAGTTCACCAGAAGAGCTCCAGACTTAAAACATGGTGGAAATGATTCATAAAAAAAAAAATAATAATATCCACCGGTTGGATTTTTTTTTTTTTTTTATCGCTGGTCTCAAGCGCCACAGAAGGAAAGTGGTGCTGGATGTGCAGGCAAGTTCCAAATGTCTCCAAATTCAGTCTGTTGCACAAGCTCAGCTGGAGAGGGCAAGGCACAGACGGCAGCCAAGGTCACTGTGACAACGGGGAACATGCTTGATATGCTGAGCAGCGCCGGGCTGGGAGGCGCAGACAACAAGGGCCTGACGCATTTGAAGTGTCGCTCAAAGTTGAGCCGAGGTTTCTCCTTGTGGAGGTACCTGACAGCTGCAACCGCTGCCTCTTTGATGCCAGCGCTGATTTCAACCCCAGGACTTGCAATCCTTCCCGTAATTTATTCCCTTCTTGGCGATTGGCCTCATAAAAACAGGTGGGGAAAAATTCCCCCCCCGACGGAGCGCCATGGTTACGGATCCGAGATCCAGCCTGGCTGCGCTGGCAGCCACGGGAATCTCGGTCCTGTCTTCAGGCAAGCTCTTGCCCACCAGGAAATTCCAAATTAAAGGTCTCAGTTCTCTCCTCGTTTGCCTCTGCTAACATCCAGACTGACATTTTCCTTTAACGTTGCTTCTTAAGCCACCAGCTCCACTTTTTCCAAAATAAGCATGTTGATAAAAGTAAATTCAGTCCCACGTTTAGCACGGCAGCCCACGAAAATTAAAGGGCCGAAAAGGAAAGCAAAATAAGCTGATAGTTTATAATACTTTTTTTGTTTCCTCCAGTGCACAGGTGAATTGGAAAGGTTTCTTACATAAATTTCAGCGGGATTAGTTATGAAACGTGCTTTCTGTCACTCTCTGAAATTGCATCTTTCAATAAATGTTTCATCTCCTAAAGCTAATCCTGGATTTATGCAAAAAACTCCCCAAACCAACCTCCCCCCCCTTCCAAAAGTCAACCTGTCCCACACTGCTGGAGATGTGCAATGAAGTATTGCAGACTGTATATGCACCCAAATAGCCTTTCTCTTTCCTGTGCATATTATACTTGTCCCCCAAGAATGTAGGTAGGAATTGTTGCTCAGTTCACATTCAGGTAGTTTTACATTGTGAGATATTTGAGGACAAATATATGTATCTTAAACAAACAAAAAAATGTTACAACCTGTATTTTTGCTTTAGTTGCCTAAAAATGGGGTTTGCTCTTGTCAGGATAAAATTCCTGTGCTTTGTTACAGCAAAACAGGTTTTCCTGAATATGGTGTTTTGCAGTGAATCCCCGAGATTCAGCTCTGATTTAAATAACCAGTAATTTTGTGTTGTCTCTGCCAGGAAACCAGTCTTTCCACTCCTCTTGGTCCTAGAGCAGCCAAATCCCAACTTTCTGAACACCCCACAGCATGACCCAACACGGCCCCATCATTCCCTGCTTTCAGGAGAGACTGAGCAACAGCAGCTGAGTTTCCAAAGGCGACACAGCACAGATGTCCAGCTCCAGGCTGCCCTCAGTCCCACTGCCTGCTCTTCCAAAGCCTGACCTACTGATTCCCCCTTATGCAAGGAAGGGGCAGCAATTCCTCTGAGCCAAATAACACTGCTTTTCCTCTAAAAACCCTTTCCTTTATGAGGGACTCTCCTGCAACAGGCCTTATAAAGTCAGTATGGAATGGGACAGCCCAGAGGCTCCAGTGGAAGAGGATGGTGAGATGGGACTCAGAGGGTAGAAAAGTGAAAGAAGGAAGGGAAATTGTGAGAGAAATAACATGTTTTCATAGTTAGGCAGAATCACAGGCTGACACAGTGAGGACAGGGCCCCCAAAAGGGCTCCCAGCATGTCCAGGCTGGATCAGGCTGCTTCTTTCCTTGTCCAGTTGAGTTTTGAACACTTCCAAGGATGGAGATCCCAATACGTCTCTTGGCCTCTGTCCCAGTGTTTCTCACCTAGGGTGAAAAAGCTTTTCCTCGTATCCAGGTGGCAATCCTGGCCTTCCAACCCTGTTCAGCCAGTTGATAAAGGAAGGCACTCCCAGGGACAAGTGCTCCCTCTGACATTTGTACTTGTTTTCTCTCCTGCCCTTTTTAGAACTCATTTTATGATTCTTTTTTTGGCTTTGTTTTTATGCAGTAGCTTTGTTACTGCCTGGTTTTCCAATTATAAAACCTCTAAATTTGATTTGAACCTGATAATTAAGCCGTGACTTAGCACATTAACCCTATTGAAGCCCAGAGGTGTGAGACATGCTCTTTAGGACCTTAAAATTCGGTGTTTAATTGCATCCAACCCTGAGAAAGATGCAGGGAGGTGAGAAGTGACTGTGGCACTAATTCAGGCCACAGGTGCTAACAGGACAGGACTTCATGCTTTAGGTCTCATCTGTCCCATCCAGACCAGGGTTTTCTGCTGTCTTCCACCACAAGAGAAATAGGAATATAGCAGATGCACAAGAAGACTCAGTTGGTCACTGGCATCACTACAAGAGTTTGTCATGTCCTTTGGCTGTTAGAAATCCCGGATCATGATCTGCACAGTGGGTGTCTTTGTGTTCCCCTTCAAGGTCAGGGCATTTCTGGCTGCATCCTCTACCTATCAGGACAGGTCCAGGCCACAGGGGTACATCTTCCTCTCTTGCCATCTAAACTGACAAAGTCAAAATTTTGCCATAGGAAAAAAAAAAACAAAAATAAACAAAAAAAACCCCTTGGAATCTCTCCTGTCTGGAAGCAGCCAGGAGAAGAGTACAGGAAACAACATCCAGGAGGGATAGTGTGGCATCCCACACAGTTGTCATTTCCAGCCACCTAAGGTAGCTGGTCAGCCCTGGACACAGTTTACAGTTTAGTGGGGAGAAAGAAAACTGCTTAACACAGCAAGAAATGTCTTATGTCACCACAGGAACAGTGACATCATTCTGTGCTGCCCTTCTCTCTCTCCCTTGCCTGTTTTTTCATCCCTTAATTCACTGGATACCATGCAGAGCTCCCAGGAGACTAAAGCCTGTGGGTCCATGTCAGGAAGGCAGGTCTTCACCCTTGGCAGGGGTGGCCAAGGGCAGGTGCTGTGGCAGCCTGCAAGCCAGGTTTTAGCATTTTGTGTTCTCCCAGTCAGTATGTCAGCAGCTTTCTTCCCTTCCTGTCCTTCCCCAGCCCCAAATCCTTGGTTCTTGTGGAGCTGTGTGACTTTTGGGAAGCAGAACGTGGATGTTCCACTGATTATCACACTGATGATAGCTGACAAGGGCTCAGTGGGCACCAGGGAGAAACTGGTCCTGAATTTATGTGCCTTATCCTCAAACACTTTGCTCTTGGTCGTGAGAAGCAGAGGGTTTTATGCAGACCTGAGAGGCAAATCAGCCTATGGGGAAATGCAGTTATGGGAAACAGGCTTAAAATTGCCCCAAAAGAGGCCTAAAACTGTCTTATAAGCCTTTAGCCCAGACCAGAGGAAAAAGTGTGTGTTTGTCTTTCTTTAGGGCTTCACAACACCCAGCTCTAAGTGTCACTAGCCCGCAGAGGAACAGGAGTGACCATAATGCTCAGAAAATACCCCCATTCGCTACGTCAAGCTCTTCCAGCGACACATCAAGCAGCTCTTCACTTTCATCAGAACCAACCAGCCAGATCTCCATGGGTCAGGATCAAACCCTGCTGGACATCACCTCCATCACTAGATTGGCCCCAGGAGAATCACCAAACCCTCAACCACTCGAGCAAAGAGATACAAATTTAGCAATATCGTGTTCCAGCCCACTCGGAGCAAGGACTATTCCAGCATCTTGCCCAGCCAGTCTCAGGCTCAGTCTAACACCCAGCTCAGCCACACCACAGCAATACTCTGACTCCTCTCCAGTCAGCCCAGGGATCAATGCAGCTTCCTTCTATACCTTCAGTCCTCACACAGCACAAAACGAACAAGCTTCAGCTTCAGATCACACACTGACCCCAACCAGGACAAGCACAAGGCCTCCAGCAACAACGACTCCTGAAGAGAGTTCCCAGGCTCCTGGCTATTCTAAAACTGACTTAAAGAATACAGGAAAGGGGTTTGAATCAGATCTGGAAGATCCTGATCATGAAAGGTATGTATCTAGACCATACAAGTGTCTAAGTCCTCAAATGACCCACTTGGGTTTAGTGTCATTAAAAACCCCTCATAAAGAAAGTTAAGTATCTTTTATGCTTTAGATGTTTCCAGTGTTTGTTTTCCAGTAGCTATCCTGTGCTCCCACTAAACCCTGTTATGCAAGAAGCAAAATACTCTGTTTGCTTTGCATTTAGTTCTCCAGACCTGATGACAGACCACCCCTGGGCCAGGTCATCAACCTCAGCTCCTTCAACAGGGCACAGTTTTAAGGTGCCTCCTTTCCTTCCAAAATGACACAGCACATCTCTCCCTTGTACCAGCAGAGAGAAACTGCTGCCCCTGTGGAGCCCAACAGATCAGAGCTGGGGATGGTGCTCAGAGACATGGCCGGCATCTCCCTCCCAAACCTCCACCTCTGCTCCGACCCCAGGCAGGCTGGGCTGGTTTCACCCCTCCTGGCCTCTGAACTCCACCCTGTCTCTGCAACTTCTTTCCTTGGCAGGAGATTTGTGACCGCAAAGGAGTTCCAAGCCATGGAGAAAGAACTAGAGGATGTGAAGGAAGACCTGAAATGCCTGAAGTGGAAGGTGAGGCACATCGGTGAGACGGTGCAGCCCCTGGCCGAGGACAGCAAGAGGTACAACGGCTACACCCTGACGGAGCTCAAGGCCATGGTGCAGTTCGAGGATGACCCCTACAAGGCCGCCCACAAGATCCTCACCGCGCTCTTCAGCGATGTCTACAGGCCACAGCACCCCCCCACCGAACAGCCCTGCAACTCCCGGGCCCTGCCCAGGCCCAAAATAGACCCAGAGCTGTACATGGTGTACTGTGACATTCTGAAAAGCATATTCCCTGGAATTAGCAGCCAGACCTTGAGGGAAGAGACGCAACACGTGCAGAAAAGCGCCCAGAAAGCAGTGCAATAACAGCAGAGCCCGCAGAGGCTGTGCAGAGTGAGAGGTCTCTGGTGGTTTGAGGACTGAACTGTGGTAGGTGCCAGCGGTTGAGTCTGTCCCTTCCAGGTATGGATCGTCTGTAAAGATGTTGGTGAGCTCTGAGCCCTCATGCCACTTGCCCAATGAGACAGAGTGGGGAGGCATCCTGCACACTTCCCACATTTTAGAAAACAATTGCTCCTTTAGTGTCTCTTTCAATCTATGGACGTTTCCTTGTTTCCAGCAACTACAAATGCCAACAAAAGAATCCCAAGAAGGCGTTGTACGTCCGAGCAAGGGCCTTCTCCCAGCCCCAAACAGACCAACCAACCAGCATCTGGGTAGTTTCTATTTTCTAGAGTGTATCATTCATTAAATGACATTACTTGTTAGAAAATCGTGCCTGTTCTTTTTTATTTATTTGTCTAAAAGCGGGGGCCTCTGGTGGTCTAGTGGTTAGGGTGCAGGACTCTCACCACTGCGACCCGGGTTCGATTCCCGGCCCCCCGGGCAGATGGAGCTCGTCAGCCCTGTGAGGCAATCCATCTAAGAGAAGGTCACTCTAAACAAACCTACGTTCTGAGACCCTCACTGCCACTGTCCAAGCGTGCTTGGCCCCAGCAGATGAACCTCAGGATTAAAGGGTGGGCTCAGTTCAGCGCACGCTGAGTCTCACCTAAAAAATCCACTGCGCAGGCTCGAAGGGTTAATGACCTTTCCCAAATCTTCGCTCGCGAAGACTGGCCATTATTTATTTGTCTAAAAGTGCTTTGTATATCAAATCAATCAGCATCTGGAAATATTCCACATATATAATAATATATGATATAATATATAATAATATAATAATTCCAAGAACTGGAGTGAGATCTGGGCATTGTAAACCACCCTCCTCTGCCCACCTGCATCCTGGGTTAACACGGGCAGGCACCCAGGCCAAGGCAGTGAGGAGCTGGGGTGACCCCAGGAAGGTCCCCTTTCAGGTAATGGGGCCAGGGCACAAGACTGTGTGATGTGCCCCTAAAACACCAACCCAGCAGTGAGTCAGGTAAAGGTCTGTGACCCCCAGCTCTCCCAGTCCGTGGTGACTGGGCTGGCAGACCAGCTCAGAGGTGTTCACAGCTGTGCTTTGCCTTCCCACGACGTCAATGCCGAAAGGCTGCGGCCCCTTGCTGGGGTGTCACAAGGTGGTGGAGCCTGCCCCGAGGGAAGGAGGCTGCTGGTCATGGAGGACACACAGGAAAATGGCCCTGGAGCTCCTTCCTCCCCACCTGGGAACCAGGAAAGTACAATGGATGAACAACAGTTTGTGCCCCAGGTTCCGCTCACGGGGATGGCCTTGCAGTCTGTTCTGTAACGATCTGGTGAGGGTGGAGGGGTGGAGAGATGTCCTTGAGCCACTTTGCTCAGTACCAATGGCAGCCACTGCTCCCCTGCCCCACTGGCTCATCCACTCCCTTCCAGAGTCCTTGGCACTTTTTGGAAACAGTCACTTCCCCAGTATCAGTGTGACGAAACCATCAAAACTCAGGACACGTCTGTCCTGCACACGGCTGCTGCTCCCTGCCAGGCCACAGGGATGGCAAAAGGTAACCTGTGAGTTCAGCCCCACTTTCCCTCTGCTATAATCCACTTCTTAAGCTTCTTTCAAAAATAACAGGGAGGAGGAATAAAAAAACCAATTACAACAAAACCCCAAAAGCAGATCATTCCCTGTGCCACCACAGCTCCAGACACCTTGGGCAATGGGAGGGGGCAGCACAGTCCAAGGACACGCTCTGAACCTGCTGGGCACATCTCCACAGGGACACTGACTGTTGTAGGAGAGCCCCTACCTGCCTTTCAGCATGATGGTCTCTGCTGAGCTTACAAATGTGTCGTTTTAAGCTCCCTGTTATTAGCAATTTATTTTACTTACAAGCTGCTGTGCAGACACAGCCACAGCCCTGCCCACACAGCCCCTCTGTGCCACGCTGCAGCCACGACCTGTGGCCACACCTGGCAAATTCCGAGGTGCCCACAGGGATACCCAGGGCTGTGCACAGTGTGTGCCCTCGGGGGGTCACAGCACCGAGGTGAGGGACAGGGAGAAGGCTGCCCTCCCTCCCACCTTCACCGGGGGGCACAGAGGTGAGTGCAGGATGGTCAGAGCTGCTGGACACGCAGTATCCCCTCAGAGCAAATCACCCACCCTGGGGAGCACCGTGGTGGAGCACCACAAATCACCCTGAAGGCTCTGGGCACCGTGGAGGGGATGTTTGAGTCTCACACGAGCACCCCCTGCATCCTGTTCCGCCTTCACAGCTCTCCTAGGAAAACATGTCCCCTTGGTTCACATGGATGGCTGACCCTCCTCCCACAGAGCTCACACAGTTACTGCTCCACACTAATTTTCCCGTGGCAGATCAGACCCCCAGCTCTCTCAGAGGTCTCTCTTCAGAGCTTTCCCTAACTTCCACAGAACCGACAGAAACACAATTTAGAGATTAGCAATATCAATCTTCATATGTTGCATTGCCTGCCCTCTCTGCCTGCAAAATCTGAATACATTTGCAAGAACAGGCTCTGTGGCTTCTCCTGTTCATGAGGCCTGACAATGTGATCAGATTATCACTTTTAGCCCTGTTCTCCTCACGCCTCAGATCCAGTACAAGTCTATGAATTATTTTTATTAGCCTTACATCATCAAGGCTGGTTCTATCAAAGACTGTCAGTTCTGGGTCCCTTTCAGGTTGCAGAGTCTCCTTCTTCTGGGTCAGTTGTGATATGAATCACCTCTACCCACTTTACAGATGTGCATTTTATCCTGATAGTCCCAGCTTTTAGCTATTCCAGTGGAACTTCCAGGTTATTTGCATCCAACCAGAGCTGGTCAGTCTTGCCAGACCTTCTATATATTATTAGTAGGCATCTGCACCTTCTGAGCCCTCCAGTGTGTCCCCAGTGCCTCACCAGCCACAGCAGCCCATGTGCTCAGCTGTGAGGAAACTGGGAAAAGAGCAGCAGGACAAACCCCCTCCATCTGTCCTTTACAGACTCCTCACTTCCCCCTTTTCCTCTGCTGCATTTGTACCTTGGAGGCAGCTCTGCCTCTGTGAAGATGTCTCAGCCTTCAGTTCCTGCATTATCTGCACCTTTGTGACCATTTCCAGTACTTGAGGCACCTTCCCTGATTTTTACACAGGTAGAAAAATCCACTGATTTTCTCCTGATTTTCCCGAGTGCTTCTCTTTGTTGGTGTTCCTGCACATCACCAAATCCTCTCGTCCTTTACAAGCCTCAGCTTTCCTTGCTGGTTTTGCTTCCCTAGGTTTGCTGGGGAGAGAAACACAGCTGCCTGCCCACAACTCCCAAGAGATTTTCTGTGTCCAGTCTATTTTTTCTGTAGTCACCCACTCCTCACACAACAGGAGGGCGAGGGCTGGCCGCCCACACCCGCAGGAAGAGCCCTTCTCCTCGCAGGGTACAAAACTGAGTCAGCACAGCCAAAGTAAGACAGCAGTGTCTTAAATACATGGGCCTGAAAGCAAGTTTTTTGAGTTCATTTTTAGCATCCTGTACTTGCCAGAACGTGTCCTGTAACAAGCTTGCTCTGTCTTAAGGCTCTGGGTCTTGCTGCCTGGTGTTCAGAGAGAAAGGCAATTACACAGCCCCATTATTGTGACAGTTAAAGGGATTCAGCCATTGTTCCTCTTGGACAATTCTCACTGATTTGCACTGTGCCTCCATGGCTCCTTTGCATAAATAAGCCTTCTCTCCAAAATGTTATCACCTCCTCTTGCACAGAGACAGGAGGAGCAGGCAATCAGACACACAGTGAAAAATTAATCTTTAAATTCATGTGGCATTCCATCTATTCTTCGTTAAAGTGTATAAGTCTATTTTTTCCCTTGAACACGTACTCTCCAGTCTGAAGACCCAATACTGGACCAAATGATTCCTCCCTTCCTTTCTTAACTACGGGCATTATATTTGCTATTCTCCAGTCATACCCAGCTCCAGAGAGTCATTAGTATCACCCTTATTCAAAGTAACAAGCTGTCTGTTAGCTGTTCATCCCTGCACATATCCTGAGCACCACAGGCTGCCTTCCCCTTGTCATCTCTCAGAGCAGGTGCCTGGTCAGAAGTGTGAGGACATGAACACTTTTCCAGCCTCAGGCAATCTGTAGTTTGTACTGACTGATTGCATTAAATAAGCAACCTATTAATATCCCCCATGCTGGGGCTCGATAGGCTCCAGTTGGCAGAACAGTCTCTACAGCAGATAAGTTATGTTAAACAGAGAGTCCTGATGCATCCTGGTCATGGAATCACAGGGTAATTTCAGCTGGAAAGGTCAGCTCGTCCAACCCCTCTGATGAGACACCATTCTAGTAAAAGAAACTGAATATTTAGCTCTGTGTTGCAAAAACTAAAAGATTGCAATACAACAAACATCTAACAACCAAAGAAAGGAAAAAAAAAAAGAAAAAGAAGAAGAGAAGGTTAATTTACATCTGCATCAGTGGATAAAGAAGATAAATGGCAAACTTTCTGTGGCACTGGTTGGGAGGGCCCTTCGCTGTGCTTGGATCTACATGCATGGCCGATTCATTTGTCAGCCTTCTCATTAATATCTCTAATTCATAACTGCAGTCAAAGTCACTCGCTGATCCATACATTTTATGACCTCATGGTTACCCCTTCGTACTGTTAATAATAATGTCCCTGCATAATGTGAGTGTTTTATGCAAAACAAGTCCACCAGCACTTCTGCTTCATGACTTAAAATACAGCAGAACGAGTTTTAGGCAACTGTCTGCATCTTTATATCATTTATTGGCATTATCTGTCCTGACATGGGAGTCACAAGGGTTTGGGCAGTGCCATTAATTACCATTAATCCCTTCTCCTACCTGAATGCCTGCTCCTCAGGGTGTGTTCTCTACACATTTATATACCCGGTGCCTCTTGCACACTCCAATTCAACTTGACTTTAGGAATTTTCACATTAAATCTACAATCTTTGTTTTCCAAGGTGAAACTGCCTCTGGAGACCCTTTTCCATTTCTTGTATCCATACATTTCTGTAAGTGGTTATTTTCCACTACGAGCTGGAGCCCTCCCCCGTGGACCTCTCCCTCCTCTGAGGGGTCTGACAGGCAAACAAGTGCCCAATAAGTCATCCCCTGACCCTTATTCTCAACCCACAGCCAGGTGACCAAAGTGCAGCTCTCCTGAGGGCCTTAATGCTGCTTACTCAGGAAAAAGAGTGACACTGGGGCATCCCAAAGGGCCTCAGCCAGAATACACAAGGACAGAACAGGCACTGCTCTACCCGAGCCCTGTCCCGAGAAATGCAGATCTTAGCTTCTTGCAGATTTATTATGAAGAGTAAATTATCTGAGTGGCCCAAAGAGAGTGATTAAAATACACATCAACGTCTTGCTGGGTCAGTGGGTTTTGATCAGATCTCCCATTTTGTGTTAATATTCAGACACCTTACTATCCCTGAGAGATGAATAATAGTGGCTATTTAATTTCTCTGACAATATTAAACATAATGAAAAGTCATACTATCATCCCACATCCTTCCCCATGAATTCTGGCCACAGACAGATCTCCTGTTGGTAATGGAAATGTCACTTTGATTCATCTGTTCACCAACTAATCCTTACCAAACAATCTCCAGTATATAGCAAGCCATCCCAAAACATTCCCTTGGAAACAGGCCAGAGCCGACATTCACTGTAGATTAGTTTTTACCACTGTTTAGGCTCAGACCATTTCAGGTAGCTTTGCTACTTACTCTATTTTTAGCAGTGTCTCCAGCACACCAGGAAAGAGGCAGATCATGAGACTTCTGCTAATCTGCAAATCTGAAATTATAGTTGGGAGATGGAATTTATTATTACACAGCTCGATGACAACAGCAGAGATGACCTTTCTGCAATGCCAAAAGTCTTATCCACGCTGATCTGGGCCTTTAATCAGTGGGGGAAAGTACAGGTCATTATGTGTCAAAGGAAAAACTTTTTCCCTATTAGGACAGTTAAGTATTAAAACAGATTGCCCAGAGAGGTTGAGCAGCCTCCATTCCTAGAGGTTCTCCAAACGGGTTGAAACCCTGTGTAACCTGATCTGACTTTAGTAAGGTTAAAAAAAAAAAAAGTGTATAATTGCAGAAAACAGTCAGGAAAACCTTTGCTGAATGGGAGCACGGACCCAGGAATAATAAAAGGCAGGAGCAGCACCATCAGTGTGTTACACTTTCTGAGCCCACTGGAGAGCAGGGGGGGCTGTCATGTCCCAGCTCCCCTCCCTGTGCTGGCCAGAGCCTCCTCCTGCCAGCCCTGCACACTCAGAGAGCTGCTGTGCCCCCGGCCCCCTCTGATGAGAGATAAAAGCTCTCTCTTGCTCGAGATGAAAGTTCTTTCCCCAGCTTGTTACACACAGAAACCTCTATTCTGGCAGCCACCTCATGCTGCCATCAGGCAGGAGAGGATTCTCAGTGAAAGAGATGAAAGGGTTCAGCTGCTCCTGGTTCATTGTGTTTGCCACAGGAACCCTCTCTTCCCCAAGTACAATGCTCGTGCTGGGGGAAGAGTAATTTCCCTGAGAAACCTTCCCAGCCATAGCAGCTTCCCCTCCATTCCCTCACCCTTATCCCTACCACACTTGCTTCCCTTCCAAGCCTTTGCCCAACATATGTCCCTTCCCTTCCCTTCCCCTCCATTCCCTCACCCTTATCCCTACCACACTTGCTTCCCTTCCAAGCCTTTGCCCAACATATGTTTCAGCTCCAGCTGCACTGCATGGGATACACTTTGGACACCAGTCCATAATACTCAGCTGGGCTCACACTCTCGGGGGGCAGCAGCCAAGGACCAGACTGCTCCTGGCCCTTAGGATGGCTCTGAGGTGCAGTGTCCAGATCCAACACTTCCCCCCAGCTCTGCTCCCACCTCCTGCCTCCCCCAGGGCCAGCAGACTGCCAGGTAACAACTGCTCCTTGGCTGAGAAGGAGACTTGGCTGTTTCTAAGTTGCTTTAGCATTCTTTGACATTCATCTCCACACACTTAGCCCAGCAGGATGTTCTTTCAAAAACCACCTTTTCCAGTTAGATCCAGATAAGCTGAGGATAACAAGCAATCGAGGTCTGAAAACAACTGATCACAAATCGGTGAAAGGGAAGAGCTGAGTGTGAGTTAATTGTATCTGTGTGACCTATGTCCTTAGATTCATGGTTCCCAAAATACCCATCCTCTCACCCCAGACTTCACAAAATCTGTGCCTGCTGACATTTTTGGAAGTCCCACAAGCAATAGGACAGAGACCAGCACTCAGAGTTTGTTTGATTTTAGTCACAGCAGAGACCTTGGGTGAGTTGAAAGCTAAAGGCAGGATTTCACTGTGGTCTCACTGCATAATTGAGACCTTCCAGAAATAACCAGTGTACCTGGGAAGGCTGCTCACAGGTCATGAGGTGCAGGTTTTCCTCTCCTAATTAGAGCCAAAGCAGTGAGCTGTGGATGAAGGACCATGGAAGCAACATTTCAGGCTGGGAAACTCCTACCCTGCTGATCACTGGGATGGTCAGTCCTCTCCTTCACCAGGAGCTTAGAAAGGGAACACCAGAGAGCCCTCAGACAGAAAGTCTATAGCCCGATTTTCTCCTTTTCCAATAATTCCTGGGTCAGTAAGAAAGAAGCCACCAATTGCAAATGTTTCCTTTTATGTCCAGATCTCAACACTGCAGCACTTCACAGGGTCCTGAGCCAGGGTGATGGGAGCTGATGCTGTTAGACAAGGGTGGAAAATTGATCCCTTCCCAGCAAGATTTAGAGGCCAGTCGGACAAGAAATTACTCCAGCTGGGCACTCCGTCCCCATCTCTCAGCTCTTCCTGCAGCTCAGAGATTCACTCTATAATTGCTTTCTTAGTCCACATTTTATCCTCAGCTGACAGAATTCCATTAGGGTGATACAAGCTGTGTGATAAAGGGATGTTTGTGTCTCACATGGGCTGTAAGTCATTTCTCAGCAAACAAGCAAATAGTCACAGAAATGGGCAAAGAGGCCACCGAGCCAGGAAGCCACTTCTTGTGCTCTGAGCAGCAGGACCTCAGCAGGTAGATGGAGGCAAACACCCTCCCAGTGTGTTATGGTCCTCTCTGTCTCCCTCTCTGCTGCTTGGAGGAGACACCTCCACCATGAACAGTTGTCTCAGCAGCATTTTTGGACAATAATCCAGCAGGCAGACCCACAGCACTGGACATGGGGGCCCCACACAAACAGGAGCTGTGACCACAGGGGGTGGTGACACCCCAGATCAGAGAGCACGTGCCCTGCATATGGGAAATGAGGTGAAATGAAAGTAATCTTGTCACACATCTGAGAACATCCATCTGAAGAGTGTAACAGGTTGGTCACACCTGCAAGGCAAAGAACAGTGATTCCAAACAGGACCTTCAGGGCAAAAGGAATGACCTTCTAAGCATAATGATGCAGCTGAAAGATAGACATGATGGGGAAAAACCTAAAAGGGAATACAGGAAGGTGCCCCAGGTGCTGCAGAGTGCCCAGTTGCAGTGCCTGCAGTACTGGTGAAGCCACTGCCAGGTGGTGTGTGCTGGACTTTACATTTTCTGAGGAATATTGGAAGAGATTTGTCTCCTTCAGTGACGTTTGCCATAAGAGCAGCTCCTGTTAGAGCTCAGCCTCCCAGATCAGCAGCCCCAGAACACGGAGGGCAGCCTAAGGCACCCCTCAGCCATGTGCTGGTTTGGACTCTAATCACTCACTGCATCCCCCAGGCTGGAGCAGGGGTGATCCAGCAGTGAGGACAGCAGGAGCAAAGAGCAGGAGGGAATGGGAAAAGCTTCTGTCTTGCAGATCAAAGGCAAAGTAGACTTTGTCCCCTGCAGGTGGCAGAACTCAGATGTCAATACAGCCCTTCATGTCTGCTCTTACCTCACTTGTGCTGGGAAGTGAGGTTTTTCTGGAAACTCAAGGAAGTTTAAAGACTCAACATTCCACCTCCCTCCCACACTGCTCTCCCCCTCACACCCTCAGTGGCAGCAAGTCCTGTCTCTGCCCATTCCAGCGTGTTTGTTACCTTGGGTACAAGATCTCTGTCCAATCTCACAACACCTGGGCACTTCTGGGCACTGCCAGGCTCCTGCAGGTTTTCCCAGCCTGGCATTCATCCCTGGAATGGTAGGACTGGACATCATAAAGGGAATGATCTACACACCAGGAACATGGTGAAAGTCCAGCAGGACCAGGACATCTTACAGAAAACAGCATCACCTCAGTGGGATTCTGTAGTGCAGTTTATGTCCCAGTCCTGTCTAACCCATGAGAAGGGCTCAGTTTAATTTAACTGCCCCATGCAGCTCCTCATGTGGCTCTTATGGGTTCATGGATGAGTCTCCTGACTCAGGAATACACAAACTTCCATGTCTTCTATGCTGCCTTTTACACTGCACCACTTCTTGCTCCCTTGTCCACTGACAGGTGCTTCTCCCTGCTGTTTAAATGCTACTGGATTAAAGCACAAAAAGGCAGAAATTGAAAAGTTGCAGGCCTTCCCATGCATCCCAGCTTTCAGATTACACTGTGAAGACTGATAAAAATATCTTTTTCTTGATCAAAAAATAGGCAGCCTGACATGTACTTCCTCACAGATTATTTTTTTATCCCCTGCCCTTCTCAGTGTCACTGTGGGACAAACAAACTCATTTCTGTTATCTTGATCCATGCCCTTTAAACCAAATCACAACAGGTAAAGGTGAGCAACTATGGTATAAACATTTGTGAGTGGCCCAGAAATTGGAACTGAGTGGAAGTTTAATAATTTACATCAAGGCCTTCAGCGAGAATTCATTCCTTCCTTTTCATTTGCCATGCTTCTGACAATGTCAAATGATGTCATGGGCACATTCTCACTGAATTACTCCTGCTGAAACTGTGCCTGGCATTGACTGAAGTGCTCCATGGGGATCTCCTTCACTGCATGTTTACTCTTCCTCTTGTCCCCCCTGGAAATGCCAGTCTGGCATGAATGTACTTGGGAGCAGTCAGTTAAAAAAAGGTGAAAAATGGAATAAACCCTTTTCCTTAACCCTGATTCACTGAGGAAATGAGTCAAGTGCCTCTGTTTGAGTGTATAGGGCTGACTAGGGCACTTAATTATTTTTGGTTATATAAAGGGTCATTACATCTCAGGTCCAATTAGGAGGGCAAATGCTGACATCTCCTACCCCACAGGGATGAGTGAAGTATTTACTAATCATTATGCTACTTTCCATAAATGCCTGGCTGGAATCAAGGCCTCCACTAGGCCGTGCCTTGGTGGTGAGTGTCATCCCAGCGCAGACAGCAGCCTGGCAAACCCTTCCTGCAGGCACAGACACTGCAGGGGAGGATGTTCCACAGCTTAACAACTGTTTTGAAGTATTTTAAAGACTTTCACCCCCTTTCCACAGTGTGGCAATTGTGGGGAATCTCTTCAGTGGGTACAAGGACCGTTAGGAGAGGATGGCAGAAGGTTGAAGCCGTTAAACTTCATGCCAGAGCAGCTGCTCTGGACACAGATTTCCAGGGGCAAAAGGTGTGAAAGCTGGCTGCAGTTACCAACTGGCTGCTGAGGAAGAGCTGGTGACAGGGAAAGAACAGCCAGAGAGAGCTGTGACCCATCTGAGCTTGACCAAGCATTTGGCAATAATTGACAAAACCTGGAGTTACCTCAGAGGATTAGGACTGAAAAATCATTAGTCCATCACACAGGACTGGAGAGGCTCCAGACAGACACAGAGAAGACAGATGAGCATAGGAAGTCCTCTCCCCCTCATACCTTTTCAGATCAATAATAAGGATGCTGTTCTGTGCCAGGAAACACAGCAGATTTCATTTCTCTGCCCATTCAATGCAATTTGCTTAGAAGAACAAACAGTGTGACATCCCATTCAGAGATTGCCTGCATGACAAATCTGTGGTTGTGCCTCAAGTCTTCAAAACCTTGCTATAGCCTCTGCTCTTCCAAATACAGACATTTATATCTGTTCTGAGCCCTCACAATATCCCTCCTTTCAGCTCCTCCTGGTTTTCATTTTGGAGTTGCCTGTTCTGTGATTTCAAGCAAAAATTAGAACTTGGTTCTTGGTAGAGCTACACCATGAAACACATTATGGGGAAAGTTCTCAGAACAAAAGGGTTCTTTGGTCAGTGCAGATTGGGAAGAGGCCTTAAAAAAAGTGCAATGTACTCTCACACACTATTTTACATTTATAAATAAAGTGGTTTGTATTTAGTACAAAATACATTTTGTTGGTCCATCAGTACATAGAAATTTGGGAAATGCATTGCTATTTTGTGTCTTTTCAGCTTAGCCAACAGCAGTGAAGTTTTAATAAGCAAATATACAAAATATTACACTCCTGACTTAGGACAGAAAGGGAAGCAGAACAGTTTGATTCTACAGCAACAGCTGCAACAGTAACTTTGTTTTATGTCTAAAAGCACATCCTGGCTTCAGTGTTCAGTTCTCTCTGGAAACAATCATGGAATCATCAACTGGCTTGGGTTAGAATGAGCGAGTTCTAAATGAGAAAGGAAGAATCTACTATGGAGGAAACTTATTCAGGTTGTCACAAACACCAAATTTCCAGTGAAAAGTACATTTGCATAGCAAATCCTGCAGCATATTTATCTGGTTAGAGCTTTTGTTCCAGTGACTATATAGCAGGGTATTTTTTGTGTAAAAATGCACTCTGCTCCTTTACCTTCTGCTACTTAAAATGCATTTACCATTTCTCAGAAGTGACAATATGTTGCTGGCAACAGATGTGGATAGTGCAGCACAGAAGTATGGCCTCCTTGTTCATATAAACAAGAGCAGGCAAAATAGCAGAAAAGAACATTGCTCTGCAGCAGGAGGACTCTGAAGAATGTGTAGAGTGCCTGTCAATGGCACTCCAGGCAAAACACCTCATTTGCTTTTTTCATGGTAGCGAAGTAATGAAAGAAATTATTATTTCACTGCAAAACATGAAAGAAATGACAGCTGAAATGCACTTGCTAAACCTTGATAAACCTTCTTCCTGATCTCCATTTCCTAAAAGCATCCATCACACTTCTGCAAGCCCAGGGGAACCTCTCCAGGTGTCAGAAACAGTGTCAGCTCCTGCTGAGAGCCACGGCATCAAAACATGCAGTGGCAGCCCAGAGACAGACAGGTAAAGAGTTATTTCCTCTAATAAGTGCATTTCCCAGAGAACTGTTTACAGGCATCAGAAATAAAGCAACAGTTCCTTCTAGTGAGGATCTTCGTGATCATCCAGCTAGGATTTAGGAAAAAAAGCTTGAGAAACAATCTGAAAAACCTGTGGTTATAAAACCATCCTGCTTCACCCAAGTTCTCAGTACTTGGCAGGAACAGTTGTCAGCAGTAAAGTTCTCACTCTCTCCTTTATGTTCCTTCCTCCCTGGATTTTCAATTAAGAGATGAGGGGGGAAAAAAAAATCAGACAGATCACGACAAAGAACCCCCAGGAAAATAAATTCATGCTTTAGATTTCATTCTGCAGAAAATTTCCCGTGGCAAATAAAACTGCCCCTCATAAGACAGGAGGTGGTTCAGCAACAGCAGACGTAGAAAATCTTCCATTTGGATGATGCACATCTTGGAGATCTGGATTGCAGTTATTCAGGGCTGGATGCATCCAGGACTTCCCTTGTTATCTTTTCCTCCTCTGCAGCCCTTTCTCACACATGCAGGTTTTTGGACGCAAGGCTGTGAGGGAAAATGGAGCTGGTTTAGGACTGCACACTAACAGTGAAGCCACGGAGTAAGGTGAGGAGGAAAAATGCCCATTTCTCTTTCCACCCCAGAAGGAAAGCTGAGCTGTTCTTCTCAGTGACGTTTCTTACACTGACAGTGAGGGCTGCCACTTTTTAACAGTCCCACGGATTTGCTTTCCTGTGGAATCTGGTCTGAATTTAATGTTGACACTGACCTGAGCAGAAGTTTGGACCCTCCCTCAGGAGGGGACCACCTGAGGTCTCCTCCAACCCAAATCATTGCCCAAATATGTTATCAACAACCCCTGTGGCTGATGCCAGCACACTGGACAATAGGTGTGATGGCCATGGCAATGAGAGCTGTTCTCCTGGCCATCTCTGCTCTGCAACCCAGGATGTCATTCCAACAGGCACAGAGGTGTCCAGGAGACTTTTGGCACAGCCTGTGCTAATATACTAATAACTTCCAAGCTGTTTTTGTACAGGCAATGGCCTCTCAAATCCTTCTGCTACAGAACTGTTATTAAAAGCCATCAAATAATTTCTGCAACACTTTCTGGAGAACTAATTGGAGAAAGTGTCATGCTCAGGAGAGAAAACCAATCATGAATATACCAGCTTGGGTGAGAATTTGTAATGTATTTAGGGAGCTATTCTGAGTAATTTACAATGAATGACTGGGACTCTTCAGACTATAAATAAAATCTACTCTTTCTCCTTGGGGAAAAAAATAGGGGTTGTCTTTTTAATTATCACTTTCAAAGAGAAAAGACCAACCAGAAAGACAGTGGGAGGAATAAAGTCAACATGTTTTCCCCCTTGTTACACTTATCATGATTTTGGATTTGCTCAAGGAGCAACAAGCAGCTGAATTCAGACACATTTGCATCATCTCTAAAGCTGCTTAGAAGACCAGTGGGGATCCAATGAGCCTATTATTCCAAAAGCTATCTATGAACCTGCACAATTAATACGAATTTTCAATTTATCTTCAGTCAGTTTCTTTCCTAAGGACTTTCCCATTTGGGTTGCTAAAAGCCAAATATGTCTTTGATCTGTATCATCCCCTTTCAGATTTAGATATAGAATAAAAATCCACCAGATTATGAAATTCGTAGTTTCTATGGTAGAAAAAATAGAGCTAAATACATGTAAGAGGTGTAAGACTCCCCAGTTTTCCCAGTTTAGGTCTCTAAAAATGTTCACTATCCACACTGTGTCTGCAGGAAGTGATCAGAAGAAGACTGTGGAAGACAGAACTTACCTGGATCAGCCACAACTTGCTTCTTTTTACTGTTTGTGACAATCTCATTTTCATTCATCATTCGGACATCCTGGTCTCCCACATGATTGCTGAAAAGATGCAAATCAGTACAACAGCCAAAATAATCAACATTATGAAAAGTTATGAGGGTTTTTTATGGAAAAAGTTACCCAAAATCACAACTTTCTGTCTGCACCCACCGGAAGGATTCCTTGCCAGTTTTAATTAGTACACATTCATTCAGGCACACATTCAAATATAAATATCATATTCACTCTACAATTTTCAAGCCTTGCCTACACAGCTTGAACCACATTAACCAAAGGGAGATTTTAAATCAGAGCTGTACATACAGGGTATAAAAATCCCTATATGGAACTTCACACTGCTTTGTAATACTGGAATAGCATTATTTGAAAGTTTTCTGAACTAAACAAAATTTAAATTTACTGTGACAAGCTTTGCTTTGCTGCAAAATTTTAACCATTTCTTTTGGGGAAAGAAGTAATAACTTCAAAGTGAAATTAAATTAAATTACAGGGAAAAATGTGAGCTGAATGGAAAGGTGAAGAAAACATCACTAATAACATCTCCCTTTCACAGACAAAACAAAACATTTGTACCTTTGGAACAAAAGAGGTGTATTTTTCTTTTCTCTACAAACACTGCACAAAATGGGTTTCTATTTTTGGAGAAAAATGTAATGTCTCCCAAACTGTCAGGGTGAAGCAGGGGAGCCAACACTGAAGGAAATCAGAACTTACACTATTGATGATAATATCAGACTCAAGTTCAGGGTTCATAAAATACTGAACAGTGACATGTGAAAGAGAACAGGCCACAGTCAGAAGTAACAACATATAAAAGCCCAAGACTATTTCTAAAATGAAGGGATATTATCCAGCTGCTGAAGTACCCTATATTTTAGTAGGGTGGGAGGTGAAAAAAAGGGGAAAGAAGATTGCAAACCAGGCAAAGAACAAAGACCAAGAAAGCTCCTGCCCAGAAGCCTAGAAGAGAACAGACTCAGCATGTTCTCAACTGGAGAACAGACCATGCAGTTTTGTGACCCCAAAAAGATACTCCTCTTCAAAGCAAATCAAAGGATATAAGTCTCACAACATGTGCAAAGGAAGTTATGTGAAAAAGATCTGCTGCTTCTCTGTTTCCAAGAAAATAACTTTACTCACAGAAAGACCTGAAGCTGAGGAAAGTAAAGGTTCATTTCCCCTCCTACTCCTTTTTATATGCCACTGAAAAATTTCTCCAAACTTCTATTTCCTCGAGACGTTCTCATTTCAGTAACGTTTTCACTTGAAAAACTGCTCACCCCCAAATCTCACCGCGACAACACAGCCGCTTGTACAAAAACATGTCTCACACAACACAGCCAAACAACAGTAATTTATTTAACATCTGACAGTTCCAGTGGCCAACAGCCAATGCTTTAGAGAAACCCAGGAAAACAAACCCTGCAGGCAAATGTGAACTTCTGTTCCTAATCAGGACAGCTTATGTTCCTCCTGCTAATTTCTAAATATCTGAATGTCCTTCTGAATGGATCACGTGCCATTTTCCCATGCAAAACTTGCCTTTTTTTTTTCCCAATGGTGTGTGTGCAAGACATTCTATTTGTTAGCTGTCCAACGTGTAAGAAAGTGTTCATTTCTATAAGCTTTCATTTCTTCACTTTTCAATCCCATTTAAAATAAATTATTCTTTCAATCTTTATTTTCCTTTGCCAGGGACTGTTTTTTAGACCCTGTCAGTTCTAACCTTCTAAATGTAAGTGCATTTTTCACCGCATTTCATCACATTCTCTGTGAGATTGCCAACTTAGTGGTTTCAAAGTGTCATTCCTCCAAATGCAAGTCATTTCTCATTTTAGCAAGTTCATTATTTTAGAATGTTTATAAAATAGTAGAATTCTGGTTCCTTAATTAGCATCTGTGTCAAATCAGAGGACTTTGTTTTCTGTAATTTTGATGCTTGGTTCTTTTTCATTAACTTTCTATTTTTTCCCTCCTCTGTGTGATATCATTGGGATTTATTATCCCTTCTCTGAGGAAGCTTAACTTTTTTCTTCTGTGTTTATAGGCTTTCATGAAAACACATGTAAATATAAATCATGAATCCCAGTAAGTGCACATAAAGCTGATAATTTGGTCTTTGTATCTAAAAACCTATTTATTTCTCATTAAGTGAGGCACTTTGGAAGGGAATTTTCTATAGCAATGCACATATTGCTGACATCAGTCACATGCACACATTGTTTAAAAATGAGATTCAAGATCCACTCACATACCTAATAACAGTTCTCTTCTCCTGATGGCAAATCTTCTCATCATCTGTGAAGAGGATGGTGTGATATGGGACCACTGGGTCACAGGTTGGGAGGATTCCTGACACCACATGGCTCACCATCTCCAGAATCCCATTGTACACCAGCAAGTCATCCACCAGAAGCTGCAGATATTTAACAAAACAAACAAAAAAACCCGCCTGGAAACCAACCATTGCTTTCAGCTATTGTCTCTAGCAATTAACTAGAAATTATTTTGCCCTATTTGTTACACA